AGATGAAAACAACTGTGAAGAGGGGCCTGGTGTTAAGGTACCTCATCCCCGGTTTGCTTCTGAGTGAAGAGGAGCAGTAGTCAGGCTTCAGTCCTGGTCAGACTGCACCCCTGGCTGGCACACCCTGCAGTCTGTGGATACGGAGCAGGAGAGCCCGGACCGCGGGAGGAGATGGAACTGGGGGCGCAGAGCCCACAGAGCTTGGAGAAGGCCGGGGGAGGGAGGGGCCAGCGCCCGGCTCAGGCTTCCCTCTCTCCTGCAGGAACGAGAAGTGCAATGAGAACTACACCACTGACTTCATCTTCAACCTGTACTCTGAGGAGGGGAAGGGCATCTTCGACAGCAGGAAGAACGTGCTGGGCCACATGCAGCAGGTGCGGCCATAGAGAACCCCCACGCAGCAGCCAGTCTCCCTCTGGCCTCCCACCTGCTGGAGGCTGTCGGGGCCGCCCCAGTACGGGCCTGCAGGCTCTGCAGTCACAGAATCACAAGTCTGCCTTGGAATGGCCTGAGAGATTCTGTGGTTCATCCTCTTTATTTAGGGCAGAGTTTCTCTACCTTGGCACTCTTGCCATTTTGAGCTGGAAAATTTTTTGTGGTTGTTTTGCGTGTTGTAGGATGGCTCAGCAACCCCCCGGACTCTACTCAGTAGATGCCCTCACTAGTAGCGTGCCCTCGCCGCTTGTGTGATTGAAAAAAAGTCTCTAGACATTACCAAATGTCCCCTGGGGGGCCAGGTCATCTCCAGTTGAGAACCACTGCTTCAGATGAAGAAAATGAGGCTCAGAGAGAAGTAATTTGACTAGGGCCACTAATCAGACTTGAGTGAGGCCAAAATGGGCTGGCCCAGTCTTTCCCCACACACCACGCTGCCTTCGTGGGCACCCTGTGAGATGAGTGCGGGCACCTTGCCAGGGTTGGGCTCTGTCTCCACTCACTAGAGTTTCCAGGGGAAAGGAATCTGCATCCAAGGCAGGCCTGCCTCACAGATGCTGCTAGTGGTCTGAGACCTGCCCCATCCCAAACCTTCCCCACTGATGCCGCTTAAGTGTTGACCTTTGACCTTCCTGTACCCACAGATGAATTCACATTATCTCAGTTTGAATGGGCTTATCAGCTCCTGAAGGAATGGGGTACTATTGGATAAAGTATGAAGACCTCTTTTCTGTTTTTCATTCCTTCCCATTTTCCCACTTACTTTTGCTTTGTTCAGAGAAACTGTATCATATTTTATATTATTCTGAGGTGCTACCAGGGCACCCAAATTAGGTAACAAGGAATACTTGTTCATCGATAGTGACTGACAAAAGCTGCTAGGCTAGTGAAGGGCAGGGAGCTGACCAAGAGGCCAGTAGGATTAGGAGTAAATGAACAGGGTCATGCAGCCATGGAGCTAGAAGAGGCAACTGGGAGACCAGGCATTCCCTCGTACTAATTACTCCTAGAGCTGATAAACTGCCAGACGTGCCAGCCCAGTGTGCCCTGGTTCCCTGCCCAGTTTCAGGATTTCCTTTCATAGTTAGACTTCTGGATTCCTGTTTCTGGTTATAAACCTGAGACCCATCCTTTCATTTTTCTCTGTGTATTAGCGTGTCTTTGCCACTTCATTAAGAGTCCTGCCCCTTGTAATTTTTATCACTCTTTTTCCAGGGTGGGAGCCCAACTCCATTCGACAGAAATTTTGCCACTAAGATGGGTGCAAAGGCTATGAACTGGATGTCAGGGAAAATCAAAGAGAGTTACCGTAATGGTAGGTGGGATAAGAGGGCGAGCTGCTTTCCTAGAGGCCAGTTCCCAGCATAGAAGCTGACTGACTATCCCTGTTGCAGGGAGGATCTTTGCCAATACCCCAGACTCGGGCTGTGTTCTGGGGATGCGTAAGAGGGCCCTGGTCTTCCAACCAGTGACTGAGTTGAAGGAACAGACGGATTTTGAGTGAGTACATCTGCTTCCTGGGGTGGGTCCCTCCCCAGTAGTTGCTGAGATCTACTCTTCCCAGGCTGTTCACGTCTTCAGTCCTTTTTTCTTAGGATTAACACCTGTAGTCATACCTACTTAAGATCTGATGCTCAGGTCCCAAATTCAGCCTCTGCTGCTCCCCTTCTTCCTATAGCCTCAGATAGAAGTTGATTGGGGTGCTGAAGATTAAATCATCATCTACCTCATTCCTCTGTAGGCACCGCATCCCCAAGGAACAGTGGTGGCTGAAGCTGAGGCCTATCCTCAAGATCCTCGCCAAGTACGAGATTGACTTGGATACCTCAGAGCACGCCCACCTGGAGCACATCACTCGGAAGCGGTCCGGAGAAGCTAACGTCTAAGCCTCTCTGCAGAGAGAGGAACGGATTGTCTGATCGTGGTCAGCTCACCCCAACAGATCCAAGTCCGTGTATTCTCACATGTTTCAGCTCATTTTCCATTAGGTTTCCTTTTATTCTGTAACTGCAGCCATCGCAGCTCTAGCCAGGGAGCTGGGGCAGGGGCCGTAAGTGGACGCTCCCTGTATGTAGAATTTCTCCTGACTTGGACCCCAGCTCCCCGTGTCACACAAGGCTGGGTTCCTCTAGTACTACTGCTCGATTTCAGTTACTCGGTTAGAATTTTCCTAAAAATAAGCTTTATTTATTTCTTTGTGATAACAAAGTCATGGTTCCTCTACGACTATTAGGACAGCGACACACCATAACTACACTAATAAATGCCAACTGGTCACTGTGCTTTGGATTCTCCTCTTATCATCTTCACAAGTGCATTCCTGTCAGCCCCAAGACGGACACCCGGGAAAAGGCAGCCCATGTGCTCACCCCGTGTACTTCTGTTCTTGGGCTCTCTTGACTCTGTACGCAGGGTCCCAGAACACAGGACACCATCCTCGCCCTCATCCCACAAGCGGTCCCTCCCGCATCCTCTGTAGCCAAGGGCACTCCCATCTTCCCTAAGCATAAAGTTATGTTTTACCTCTTCATCATACACCCATTACCCAACTTTGCTTTTTTTCCAGCCATTCCCTAATCTCTACTCTGACAATCCAGGGTTCTTCCTTCTCAACTTTCCCCTCTGTGCTCCTTCCTGGATGAAAGCCAGACTCCATCCTGGTGGGGTGACATGTACATTTTGAATGCCTGGAAAACAGAGACATTCAATTCTGGACCTAGTTTGGTGGGTTGGTTGAAATACTGCTTTGGAAAACGATGAGTTCTTGTTCAGCTCAGTTTGTTTTCTGTTCCACGCTTCCTCATTAGCAAGTGCCCATGTAATACAGTTGGTCCTCAGGACTGGGTCTACATACTGCGCCCTGAGCTGATGGGATGCTGCCCTGTCAATGAGAGGTTTGAGATTAGTCTCCAAGAATCAGATCCTGGCTCTTGGCACAAGCATACATATCTCTCCCACTAACACAGCTTCCTCACTTGCTTGTTGAAGCAGGAAGGAGGTTTGGGGTTTTTGGAGGAACAGAGGAAAGTACTATCTAGTACTTCACTTTTGCTGGCTGTCCAAAGTATAACTGCTACCCCCTAGAAACAGTTCTAAAAGATGACCGAGAAGTCTTGTCAGAGTCCAACATTAATTAAAGCAGCCAAATGTTCTCTGTACAGTTCTTTAAGGGGAACAGAAATTAATAAATATCAAGCACCATTATCACTGATTCTTCAAAACAGCTTATACAGGTGGTGTGACAGCCTCAGAGATAAGGACACTGGGGCTCAGGGTGATAACGTAGAGAAAAGTAGGAACAGCAGAAATTTCCAAATTTGCTTTTAGACCTTTTTATTTCCTTTTTTTTCCTTACGTGAGCAAAAAACACTAATAACAAAAGGACAAAAGCAGACATACTTTTTCAAATTAGCTGTGTCAGCAGATTCTGTTCATTTTTATTTATAGTTCCCAATCAGTTAAAAAAAAAAAGTCTTTCACATTTGCATAAGGTCATCTAGAATCAACAACTTGATCTAGCTTAGGAACATGAAGAGGAAGAGTACTTAGACTAAGTATTGTTCACTAAAACAGATCTCTTTTGGGTAGGTGGGTCATCTCAGAGAAAGCTCTTGTAAGTGCTCTTCCCCGACTCCCCAACTCCACCCACACCACCAATGTCTTTTTGTGTAGATCAGTAAAAAGCAAAGTTTCCAAAACAACTGAAAACAAACTCCAAACTCTTAGCAGAGTGAATGAAAGACCCATGAGAAAAGGCAGCCCAGCTCCTGTCCTCCCCTGCTGCAGCAGACGCCCCCCTCAATGGCGGGTGCAGGAAGAGCCTGCCAAGCCCGCTAGCACAAACTGGCTGTCAGGAAGAGAAAGAACTGCATTCGAAGAAAAGCTCTTAGGACTGCTTAGAACCTCCTATCTCTTCTACTGCATGGAGAGCAGCAAGATAATCTTTCTAAAATAACATTGCTGAACTACTGTAAGCCTTGGGCACACTCATGGAAAAGCAGCAAAAACTCCCTTCCCTTCAGTGGTGAGAAAGAAGGGGCCAGTCCCTTTTGAATGCCTGGGGATGATTCTAGGGACATTCGGCCCAGTTCTGAACCTGTGCACCATCTGAGGCGGTAGTATCTTCATCTTTGGGCTGCAGCTGTTAGCTGGAGTTTTCTTAAACTTCTTCGCAGATCAATTAAAATGTTTCTAGAGGGATTCTTCCGAAAGTTAATCATGTTCCCAAAGGCAAACTAAATGCACATGCTATAAATACTCTTCATCTGCCCAGAGAAATTCAGTCTCACTGTTGATTTCTTTCCCTAATGAGGGTTGGGGAGAACTCTTTCTTTGCAGGGTGCAATATAAAAGGCCCAGTAAGCAAGAAACAGAAACAAAAGTGAGGGACATTTTTTTGTTTGCTTGGTTTGGGGAGGGGAGGTGATGTGAAGGTTACTGTTGTGACATGTTGCTTTAAAATATAAACCACACAACAGGAACAACTGCTTTCCCTGTTTTCCAAGACAGACGGTGCTGCAGGGCAAAACCTTATGCAGAGTTGCCGGCCTGACGTCTCCTCCAGGCTATTCTACAAGCAACAGGTATTCCTTTAGAGAAGCTGGCAGAGGAAGGCCCTTGACGGCATCCGGCAGATACTGGAGTCCCAGGCTCCGGCGCACAGCATAGCGAGAGAGTGTTTTGAGAGTCCCGGGGGCTGAGCACAGAACAGTCAGCTTTTCACACAGCTGCTGGTCTTTGGCCACTTCTCGTGGCATGGTGCCGTTTTTCCTCAATTCAAAGTGTCCAACAGCTCTGTGGAGGAGCTCAAAGCAAGAGTCCTCTTTCTCTGTCCCAAGTCCCCTGACCAGCAGAGCCACGAGGCGGGAGATGGGCGTCTGGCCTTTTAGGTTGATGACTCTGACCTCTGCGCCATAATCAAGAAGGATGCTGACGCTCTCAAGGTTCCCCTTCATGGCAGCCCAGCTGAGCGGCGTGTCGTTGTTGTAGTCCAGGGCGTTGACAGAGGCCCCGCTCTCTAGGAGGGCCCGCACACACTCAGCATTGTTCTTAAAGGCTGCCCAGTGAAGTGGGGTGTCTCGGTTACCGTCCAGTGCATTGGGGTTTGCACCGTACTCCAACAGGACCTCCACACAAGCCTCATCTTTCTCGGCTGCATAGTGGAGGGCTGTTCGGTTGTAACCATCCAGGGCATTCACCTGTGAAGAGGGAGCGACTATATTACAGTGTATGGATGATGGGCGGGCAAAGAGGCTTGCATGTGCCTGTCCACTGTCTTTGCTATGTAATTTTCTGAACATGCAGGTCAACAAGCAATTCCCAGGGAGCTGTGATCAGGATGGAGCTAAGAAGCAAGTAGGAAAGCAATAGTCCCCAACCAACCAATACTCTATTATGTCCATTGGTTAGCTGACCTGCATCATCTAGGGTTTTGCTGCCACATTCTTATTTAATGTTCCCTAGGACCTCTACCACACAGTAAGGGGGAAGAAACAGAAGTCTAAGTCCTTGTAACTACTCTGAAAGACATTTATTGGAAGGCAGCTTGAACATATTGGTCAGAGTAAAGGTTCTGGATTATTCTACTTATCCTGACTCACTCTGTATCCTGTGGCTAATGGCAACCAGACTGAAAAGTAATGAAGTCAAGGTTCTGCCCATGTAGCTCTGCTGTGTTTTTTAACCACACAGAGCAGCTCAGAACTATTCATCCAAGTCAGCCCCTTGCAAACATATGTTGTGGGGTCACGAGAGAACCTGGAGGAAAACATACCGAGGAAAAAGCACAAATCCTCCGATGGTGAAAAGCCACTGGCTTGATAAACTCAGCATCTCCTATAATATTTGGAGGCTACAAAGATTTAATTTACATCCTAGGTTTAAATAGCGAATTTTCTCCCCCATAAAATGCACTTAAAAAAAAACCACAATTGAAATATTTAACTGAGTTCTACCTTCTATTAGCTAAAAACTGGCCCCTCAACCCGGGGATAGTCTTACTTTCATCACTGCTATTAATCACTGGCTTTCACTTCAGGGTCACTCACAAAAGTTACAGGATAGTTCATGACAGGCAGAGAACAGCATGGTTGTGTGGAGGTGGGGATGCTGGGGGCTAGAACAGGCTTACCCACCAGCATGTCTGGGGCCTGCACACCTGCTTCATGGCATCTTTGATTCAAATGACTGCCTCAACCTGTGTACCCTGAAGATGCCACAAAAATTGTCAAAACTGCTACTTTATTTAACAGGCACTTAGTATAATAATTACTACATGCCAGTGTTCTAAACAGTTTCAACCTTATGAAGAACACACCATTTATCATCCTCATTTTACAGATGGGGAAGCTGATGCAAAGAAAGGTTAAGTAACCTGTTCAAGATCACAAAGCTGGAAGTGACAGAGCTGGAATTCAAATCCATGAAGTCTGGGTCCAGACTCTCTATTCTTTTATTCATTATACTATGCTGCTTCTTGCTAATGCTAATAAAAGTTAATCTGTTTTTTTTATGTTAAGATACATTAGAAAGAAGATAACAAGATATGGTAAAACAGAAAAAAATGAATGGGCAGAAAGAGCACAAGTAACTCAATCCCAAGGAAGGGACTGACCCACTGACTTATTTTCCAGTGACAGACACGTGAGAAGTGCACGCTGGTGGCAGGTCTCCAGTGGTTTATATTGAATCAGGGTTGAGGGGACTGAAGAGTCAAAAAAGGATTAAACAGAAATATAAACAACCCCAGAAGGAAGGCAGGGAGATTAAGGGGAGATAAAAATTCCCTCTTCCCGGAGCCATGGTCAGTGTATGAAAGAAAGGCAATGGAATGAAGTACTTTGGATGATTTACAATTACATTTTGTTTGAATATTGGCCACACCAAAGTTACCTAGAAGGTGGGAGCAAGAAGGTGGGAAGAGATAGGAGAAGAGACAAAACATTTTAAGGAAGTGTGAAGCCCAAGTTTTAGTGAATCACTGATGTGACAGCGTTAAAAAGCATTACCTCAGCTCCCTTTTCCAGCAGTAACTCCACACAGTCCGCATCGGACACCATGCAGGCACAGTGCAAGGGCTTCAGCGTGCCGTGGGTACAGTTCACATCTGCTCCCTATGGACAAAGGAAACTTCAATTGGTGTGCTCAGCTCCAGTTCACCATACAGGACAAGACTCAGATCAATGTTGGGAGTGGGGGTGGCGGTGGGGACAGGGTCTAACTCTGACTGTATTGTAAATATACTACCAGCCCCAGTGCCTATGCCTATTAATTAAATGAAATTACAATGCCAATATCCAAACCAAGAGAATACACTGAAGATGAATAAAAGGAACTGTCAATGCCTTAGATCCAGTCATTAAGTTTCTCCGCAAGCTAGCCTGAAAGATGGCCATGGGGATGGCATCACTAAGGACATAACCTTGTATGTAAAAGCAGTGGAACCTTATTACCAGGCAGGGAAGCTGGAAAAGTCAGGAACGTGTCTTTCTGACAGAAGCCAGAACTGGCATGCTCTTCTTGCCATCTGACAGATGACCGTCACCAACAGTAACATCTTCTTAATGTTATGTCTTTGTTTATAAACATATATAGCATATACCTATAAACTAAGTGGCCCCTTGGTATCAGCATTCTCTGCCACCTATCCCCCACTGGTACTTCTGTTTCACATCTGATGAAGGAGCTGGAGACACCATGGTCCGACCAAAGTCACAGAATGACTCAGCAGCAGAGCTGGAATTAGAATGTGACAAAGTTTCTACTGCTGAGTCTTCTGATACCACTTTTGCTGAGAACAAGCTAATGCTGTCTGACTTTTCTTCTCACAGCTGTGCCACACAACTCTGAAGCAGCTACAGAGCTCTAGGCTGTAAATGGGATTCTAGAGTTGTTCAAAAGAATGTATAGAAGTAGCCATCTGGATGCATTCTCTAGAGATAAAAAAAAAATTACCCTGTAACTTCTCTTCAACAGGAATAATATACAGAAAAGCATCAACGCTCCTCCAGGATACTAGCCATTTAACAGAAGTACAGAATAGTACTGGTTAGACAGCAGACAGTTAAAGTGTTTCCTTAAGTCAAAAATTACCATGCATTTTAGGGACTGATAATCTCTATAAAACTGTAAGTGGTAGCTGTAGTTAGGATAGAAGGCCAGTGATATCTCTCCATTTAATTATTATTATAAACTACAAGGGTTTTAAAACCACTAATGCTTTTGCTTGCCACCTTCCTCCCTTAGTACATGTGTAGAAGAGTTTGAGCTTGCTGGATCCCATATGCACCATACCCAGACAGAGATTTTACAAACAGCACAAAACTAGGGTTATCTAGAACATAACTCCCAAAGAAAAATATCATTTGCACAAAGTGAAAGGCAGAAGGGAAGGGAAGCAAAACATACGTTAATGGTCAAGTTAATACATTTTAGAATATTGTAAAAACTGTAAAAAACTCCCTGTCATCTTGTGGTGAGTCAGAGCTGAAAATCTGTAATTCGTCAGGATTCCCCAGGAACTTTCCCACCTCACCCCCACAAGGACTCCTGCGTCAGCCCAGCACACTCACCCCTCTGATGAGGTCCTCTACATTGTCGTGTGGGAAGGAGCGAATGGCAGCGATTGTTCGGATTAAGCGCTCTGAGAGAGAGTATTTGCTCTGAATGCTCTGCATAATATACCACATACTGGAACTCATCAAGGCTCCGAGTACGTTCACATGCTCCAAACTGCCTGAAACAAAGATGTTTTAGGCATACACAATACCACTGAGCACACCTGTCCTTAGGGTTAGAGGTTCTCCAAGGCCTTCCCACTACTAAAACCAGATTTCAAAGAGTCAATGACTCATTAATACCATTTTTCCTAATCACAAGAAGGAGAATATGATAGTTACTGAGGGAGCTGGGTAAACTGGACGAAAGGATTCTGACCCTGGGAACCCTGGCTCTACTCTCTGACCTCGTCTAGCACAGGACTTCCCCAAAGGCTCCAAGCTGCCCGTGGAGCTCTTTCTGGTTTAAAAAAGACCAAGCCAGAAAAGGGATCCCTGGAAAGGCGAAGGATTTCACAAAACGTCTGTTTTCCTGCTCTGAATTAGGTGCTCTTTATTATCAGCACCCCCTTTAGGTTACTTGTTACATTTGACCTTGCAGTACAGTTATGGTCATACTGTTTGTCCATCTAAACTGTAATCAATTGGGAGGCAAGGTTCTTGTCTTCTACTTTTTTAGACCATCTCAGGCCAGCCACAGAGTCTCACAAAAAGTAGGTATTTAATAAATACTGGTTGATTGACTAAAGGAGTGATTATTACCTGTGAGAAGAAACAGAACAGATGCATTTATGTTAATGATGACAAGCCATCTGTGAAATAGTTTAAAATGTCTTTAGCGAAGAAAAAAAATGAGAAGTTTTTGAGGTGAAATTCTAAAATAAGGAAGGAACGCCAAAGTATAATTACTCTGGGATCCTCTATATAATATTAGGAAAAAAGTTTAATTTAAAAATTTAATAATTGGCAATTTGTGACAACTGAGAAGTAGCCCTGAGTTCTGTGTTGGAATAAGAAAATAATGCAATATTGGCTCAGACAATAAAGAATCTGCGGGTCTGGAAGATCTCCTGGAGAAGGGAGCGGCAACCCACTCCAGTATTCTTGCCTAGAGAATTCCATGGACCTGGTGGGCTACAGTCCATGGGGTCGTAAAGAGTCAGACACAATTGAGTGACTAACACAACACAATCAAAACAATACTTAAATTCAACTATGATAAAAAGTTTTGGCTATCTAAGAGCCATATACCAGTTAATTGGGGAACATTTAAGATTACAGCAAAGAAGGCAGAGCATTTCTATGAAAAAGCATATGTCAAAAACTGTAAAGAAAACATGGTGTGCTCGCTAGGTGTAACCATTTAGGAATCCATGATCCTGTCAAACCATAAACTCCTTGCTGGTAAATACAGCATTATTTTTAATAGTGCCTGGCACACAGCAGGTTCTCAATAAATATTTGTTGAGTCAATGTAAAGCTTATTACTTAGGACCCTAGAAAAATTTAAGACTTGCAGTAATTAGACATCTTATGCATATGATGATTACTAAGGGAAAAACACTAAAATTATTTTGGTCATTTCATACTATGTAACTTTTGTGATGGACTCTTCCTTTATGTACTATGTAATAATACTATAAACTCTTCCATCTTGCTACTGGGTAGCCATTTATCTGTCTAAAATATATATAGCATTAATTAATGGAAGTTAAAAATCAATTCATAGGTATCAGTGATTCAAATTAGGGTATTCTCCCTACTTTATTAAGAACAAAGCTTATTTATTCTTAAAAAATAAGCTTACACACTTGCTTATATGCCTCTCTGAAATTTTCCAAATAGCTTAGACTTGGAATACGTTTTAATCTTTGCAACAGCCATGAAACTCCTCAGAGACAAGAGTCTGTATCTTACACTTCTCTGTTGCAAGGAAAAAGGGGAAAAGGTACAGATACATTTTAAGTCAGAGATTCCAAGAACAAACAGAGCATCCAAAGTGGAAGGCATAGCCCTAAATGGTTCTGTTAACCATTTCTGGGTCATGAAAATCTGAAAAAAAAGAAAAAAATACTAGACCCTTGCAATCATTTTCGGAGCTCTCTTGGACTCCAGGCTAAGAAATCCTAACTCAGAATACGACCACTAGTCCTCTGCGGCTGCCTCAAAGCTCCTGCTGAAGAGTGAAACTTCGGGGCATATTGACAACATTCACTGTCCGGAAGAATCACGAAATCTAGACTCGACATATAGCCAGGCAGCAGCCTGTGCACGGTTTGACCCTATGTGCCCCCTTTCCTCTGCTGGAGCAGAAAGCTTCCTCTCTCCCATTTTCTTCCACTTCGGATCCGAAGAAAACACCAAGGGGTTTTTCTTAATGCTAAGCTAGCAGCAAAGGAGGGGAGAAGCGACATTCAGCAGCTCTGGTGCTAGTGAGGCCGGGCTTTCGCCCACGGACTCGGAGGCCCGCGACCCGGCCAGGCGCGCCCCCGCCCCACCGCACCAGCAGAGAGGGCTCGCGGCAGCTAGGTCTCGCCGAGTCTAGGGGGCGGAGGGCGAAGACGTGTGGTGTCACTTTCTGCACGGGCTCCGCAAAGACTACAGCAATCCCAGCAGGTCTCGCGGGGCCGGTACTTAAATGGGGTCACGAAATCTGCCGGGGAGCCCCAAAGGCGAACCAATCCCCGCCCCGATTTCCTTAAGGCCCGGGACGAAATCCCAGCCTCGAGGGCTCGCAGAGCGCGAGCGGGGAGTGGAAGTGTTACTGGGCGTGGTGACCGAGGTTAGGAAACCTGACTGCAGACATTCCTGCAGCGGGGCGACACTCACCAAACCGTGGGACTGACCTGGGTGGTGAAAGCGGCTGTCAAGGCGTGACCCGGAAGCAGAAGTTGTCTCCCGAGGGCTGCTCTGTTTACAGGTTGGGCGACTGGGGTGCGCGCCTGCGCACCGACCACCGTCCGAAGGCGGAACGCGCCTGCGCAGACTTGCGAAGCCGCTTCCGCCTAACTGTGGCTTAATCAGTTTACTTTCTAGTCCCGGCAAAGGCTTTTGCGCAGGCGCAATGTGGCGCTTTCGGCTGCACCTGCGGGGCTCGGTCCGTGGCGGTGGTGGGCAAAGAGCTCATTAGCTGCCTGCTGTTGGCCCGACTCTGGCGGGTGTTGTGCCTCCGTGGACCAGGCTTGCAATAAGTTTATCCGAATCCTCCTCTGTCTCCCACTGTCCCCATCTGATAATCGTACCTGAACACCCCTTTTCCAGATTATTCCCAAACTCGCGACACTGAATCTGTTGGTTTGGAGACTAAGCTGTTAGTGAGAAGTGTCTTTGGCAAATAAGAGACTGACAGCATTTTTCATAAAATATTGGAACGTATTTATGCTTCTCCGAGCATTGTCCACTCTCTCTCAAAGAAACTATATTAAAGATAAACAAGCACTCAAGAGGAGTACTAGTCCAAATGTTGAGGGCTGAAAAAACATGTACATGCTTAACATTAACCTTCCCCAACCAGAGATGCTGACACCTCCGAGTGAAGAATTTTCCGTGCAAAACAAAAAACATTTTGAAGCAAGCGGCACGTAGTGTTCCATGCATAGAGTGAAGCAGCCCACACAGACTAAGGACTATATCTACCCTTCAGCCACTCCCCAAAGCTTACTCAGAGAAACAGTACTTTACCAGTTGAGAGTGAAGCAGGGCCCAGAAAATTCTGTTTATCGGTGAAGATATGGCGAACTGGAAAAGTTAAGCGAGGCTTCTGAGTTTCAAACTCAAAAAGAATTTTTCTGGGCCGAAATGTGTCCCCCCACCTCCTACCACTCTGCTATGGTGAGCTAGTTCAGTTTTTCAAAAGGAGATGAAACCTAGATTTAAAAAATGTGAATTGCAAATGTTGGCAATATTTGTTTCAAAGAAAAATTTTAGAAACAACAGGCAGTGTTCAATTTGCAAGCCACCAATACCAGATTCTGGGACTAAAGGCTGCTTTGGTCATTGGCATGCCTCATAAGTCGCTTCAGTCCTGTCTGCTCCAGGCAAGAATATTAGAGCGGGTTGCCATGCCCTCCTCCAGGGGATCTTCCCTACCTGGAGATCAATCTGGTGTCTAGGTGTGTCTCCTGCATTGCAGGCGGATTCTCTACCAGTTGAGCCACCTGGGAATACTTGGTTATTGGCAGCTCTGTGGAAGAAGGGTTTAGGGATAGCCCTCTGATTGGGAGTGGTGGTGGTTTAGTTGCTAAATCGTGTCCAACTCTTGCAACCCCAATGGACTGTAGCCTGCCAAGCTCCTCTGTTCATGGGATTTCCCAGGCAAGAATACTGGAGTGGGTTGCCATTTCTTTCTCCACTGATTGGGAGTGAGTCTGGGGAATTGACTTGAAACTGTAGCCAGGTATTAACTACATTGTTTTTAATTCATATGTTTACTTGAGAAAGTTTCAAGGAAATTGAATGAGATTATGTGAAGACCAGAGGAAAACAATACAATGGGAAAGACTAGAATTCTCTTCAAGAAAATTAGAGATACCAAGGAAACATTTCATGCAAAGATGGGCACAATAAAGGACAGAAATGGTATGGACCTAACAGAAGCAGAAGATATTAAGAAGAGGTGGCAAGAATACACAGAAGAACTATACAAAAAAGATCTTCATGACCCTGATAACCACGATGGTTAACTCACCTAGAGCCAAACACCCTGCGAAGTCAGGTGGGCCTTAGGAAGCATTACTACAAACAAAGCTAGTGGAGGTGATGGAATTCCAGTTGAACTATTGCAAATCCTACATGATGATGCTGTTAAAGTGCTGCACTCAATATGCCAGCAAATTTGGAAAATTCAGCAGTGGCCACAGGACTGAAAAAGGTCAGTTTTCATTCTAATCTCAAAGAAGGGCATTGCCAAAGAATGTTCAAACTACTGCACAATTGCACTCTAGGAAGGTAATGCTCAAAATTCTCCAAGCCAGGCTTTAACAGTATGTGAATCACAAACTTCCAGATGTTCAAGCTGGATTTAGAAAAGGCAGAGGAAGCAGAGATCAAATTGCCAACATCTGTTGGATCATCGAAAAAGCAAGAGAGTTCCAGAAAAACATCTACTTCTGTTTTATTGACTACGCCAAAGCCTTTGACTGTGT